AAGTACACTGAACTGATTATCTAAAGTGGTGGATATATATACATCATCTTGGACGCTGAAGAAAGTTGCAGATGATCATGAGTCAGATCGAAAGAAAGAGACAAAATAGTATAGAACAAAGAAGAGAAAATGCACTTGAATAATCTGAATGTAAACGAAGAATAAAAAAATATAGTGAATATGTTTTTCATACGTGTTAACGGAACGAAAGAGATAGGCAGCAGAATGTATACATACTTATGATAATGTTATACTACCTAACAATGTATCATAATACCTAGCAGGAATAAACAAAATATCGAATAGACAAGCTGTCACGAAAGAGAAAATTAAAGAGTAGAGTTACTACAAATCAAAATAAATTCTCTTTTTTTCTTGGTAGGTATGATATATATGTCAATTTTCTTCTCTTCCGGTTCTAAGAAAAGAAACACGATCGACCACTTGTTTCATTATCCATAGCTACAAAAGAGAATAGTGAAGATATAGGAAGCTATTTTTTGAAGCTTTCACAACTGAAAATAACGGATCCACTAAATTCAATACTGTCGAAAACATGTATTTTCATGCATAATTTACGTTCACTCAGCATTGAAAAACTCGTGTTATTGCATATTTTACAAAAACTGTAACTCTTTCAGGAAAAGATCACATAATGTGAAACTTTTATGGTGGACAGAACAAGAGTCGGACTACATTCTGGCATAATTTGAGCCCCTGTTGCTATGGAAACTATGGGAGTAATGTATCGAAAATGATATTCGTTTGCAAAGATATACATAAAACTTTTCCAATTATAATGGCTCACATATAGTCAGATGCTTCCCGCAACGCTCTATCGAATGGCTAAAACCCGAACTCGATAGCTATCAGTGCTGAAGAGTTATTCAACAAATGATGACTGGTATTTTAAATGAAATTCGACATTAGTTAATAAGATTAGACATATTCCAGACAAATAAAAGGACTCATCGATAAATCCTCAAATTCAAAACATGGGCTGCTGTTCGCATGCATAGATTAAGATATTCAAATTTTAAGATATTTACAGTCTATATGTGCAATGTGTACAAATCAAAATTTCAGCAGAATATTTTCTTGTTTTTTTCGTGATGATTGGGTAGGACTCATCTAATAACATTAGAAAAAATATAATTCAAATTTTAAAAAGACATTTTAAAATAGTTTACAAAAGTCAGGTTTCGCACCTGTTTCACCTTCTATTAGGAAATAATGGTAACTTGAACTTTTTGTCTTCCTTAAAATAATTTTTTTTCATTTGAATTATACTTTTTCTAGTACAATTAGAGTAGCCCTATCAAACCAATAGGAACAGACTAGAAAAAATTCTGCTGAAATTTTGGATTGTGGATATTCTACATAAACTATAAATACGTAAAAATTTAAATATCTCGGTCTGTGGGCACTAATAGTAGCTCATGTTTTCAGTTGATAGTTTGGCGATGAGACCTTTATTCTGACTCGAATGTTTTGTCTTATTAGCTAATAACACAAAACCTTTCATTGTTAGTAATGACAATATTATAAGTTATATATCATGTAGCTAACGACTTGTTTTTAAAACAAATAAGATGTTAGATATCACTATAGTTCTTTTATTGCTCTCGGATTGTCAAAACTGTACTTCTTATTAAGTACTGTCGCAAGTTTACAAGATAACAAAATTTTTTGTCTAATTCTACATGGTTCGATGATTCGAGAGGCACATTACCCTATTTCTATACAATAATCTCGTACAGCGAAATTTTCTAGTCTAATTGAAAAACATCGAATAACGCTTTCTATCAGCTATGCTCAGATTTATGAAGCAAGAAACTTAGAAATTTATCAAAAAATGAAAGCAATCCCTAATTAACTTCCCTAATTACTGATTCATTAAAAAAATTTCCACGACATTTCTAAAATTTCTTTAACATCCATATGAATAAACAAAGTTATTAGTGTATAAAAATGTAGAAGCTTTCTATCCAAAATTATAAGAATTGTCGGTATTATCTCGGTAACATCGGAAGTTTTGCAGTAATTTCTGGAGATGTACGCGATTTAGAAGTAGATCCTTCCCTAACTACAATAAAATATGATAATATTTTTATCTTTAGTATACCCAGACGAACAAAAAATGACTGAGGACGCCTAACAAGACTAGTCTCGAATGTCTGTATTACCGTCTGGTCTAGTCTGAGATGACCTGCGATTCATAAGGACTGGTAATCTTGACGGACTATGTCGTGTAACCAAATATAGACTGGTCCAGATTGTGCCCACCACCTACATAACTAGTCCATTTTGTCCATTCGTACTGTCCAGACTCGTCAGTAAAACAGAAAGCCAAGAAAGATAGATGACGACAGGTGGATTCGAACGTTGAATTCCATAGTATTGAATGGCTGACTAGTCTGGACGATTTTCAAAAATGATATGGATTAGTGTAAAACTTCATCTTTATCGCCTATGACTAATTCGTTTCGAGAAGTTAGTACTAACCTTGGTCTAAAATAGTCTGAATTCTTCAAACAGTTCATTTTACTTTGATCATACTTTCCAGACAAATTTTTTAGACTGGTTCATAGTAAAACTAGAAAACTGTGTAATATTGTGCAGAAATTTTCCCAAAATTTGAATTATTTCTTATAATATCTAATTCTGAATTAGATGCTTTCACAATATAAAACACATAGTAAAATATTTATCATCTTGTTGTCATTTTTTCATTTTCAGTAGAAAGAGCTTCTCAAAATGAACAGTTACGATAAAAGTTATTTGAATACTTGATAATATGCAAGTTAACAATTTTTACCAATCCATATAAAAAATAGGTATCGAGTAACTTCATGGAATAAATGTGTCATACTTTTTATACTAAAACTACAAAAGTATGTTGAAACAAAAAACAATGGATAACATAACGAAGCAGTTGTTAACGTCTTAATGATAGTTGCCTATTTATGTGCTTTAAAATTTCTAGATTGTAAAAAATAGGACTAGTTTAATTTGAGGAATAATTTTAGTTTTTTAATATGAGAGTTTATTTTATTGCAAGTATGAATTCTGACAGTCTGAAGTTACAAGTGGATTCAAATTATAGCTTTCTAGTTGATTATCAAGTTGAAACTGAAAGAATTTAAATTAAACTAATCATAAATCATCAAATGAAAGAAATGTTTTTTTTGTTTAGATTAGTTTTATTTTTCTCAATTATAATTGTTTTTCTAAATACAAAATAATTTTTCCTAAATTTCGATGATAAAAAAATCTTTTGGAAAAGGTAAAGAAGAGTTCTGATATAATTTTATTTGGACTTATTTAAATATTAAATAATAACAAATTTTACGATGAATATTTTTTATTCATACCAAAACTTGAAAAATTTGAGCAGTTTTAAGTACTGTGTTAGAATGGCATTGACATATTAGAGTTGATCACTTGATCATATATGGTTCAATGGATTAAAGGATGGGTAAGTTATACACTGTATGCATGTTCGAATCTAACCTTCTGCCTGATATCTCTGTTATTTAGACTAGTCTGGACTAGATCACTACATAAGACTACAATCTGCTATATATATGCAGCGTCACGAACGCTCTGCCTTTTTCAATTTGAAATCTATTTTGAACTGGTGTCCGGACAGTGCAACATGTCTAGTCTTTTTTCCAAAAACGACTTAACATAACAGAAATAATGACTCCAGTCACTTAGGTACTCAAGACGGTGGCTAAGAGCTCTAAAAAGTTTCGGCCTAGTCATATGGGAGACGCTATGAGAAAAAGACTAGATGTGACATATAGTTATGACTAGAAAAACGAATAGTCTTTTTATCCGCCCTTTGCTTGCTTGGGTATAGACGTTACAGTCATTTCGATAAATGACACGAAATATTCAAAATTTATTAGTAATTTATAAAATTTACTATACAATTATTTTAGAATTTCTCTCTTATGTTTTAGTAATTTTCGATATTCACCAGAAATTTCCGGAGAATTTTCTTTCTATGTCTTAGCAATCTCAGTCATTTACTCCTTATGTGTTAGGAATTGCTAAAATTAGCTAGATATTATCTTTTCTTGTGTTGCTAATTTCGAGAATTTCCGTTTTCAGAAATCTAAACATATCTCTCCATTTTGACTTCAACATGTGAATGACAAAGTTATATTCATGCCAATATCAAGTCAATATTTAATTATAATCGCCGAAAGAGTGGTCTTTGAAAGTTTATCATATCCTTTCTGAATATGTTGAATTTGATTTATTTACTAGGACGACTATTTTTTGTTACTTTGTTTTTTGATAAAGAAAAATAAATTTGTAAAGTTGGACTGTCTTCTATTCACTTATTGAATAAAATTAAAACGAGTAATCTCGAGGAAAAAATTGTGAAAAATCATCAAGAGTAACTGGGATAGAAAACTGGTATCAGTATTTTCCACTTTAATTTTAGTCCTGTCAACATTTAAACTTCTACTTATTATCAAATACTCCCTATATGTCGCTAGTTTGGATCTCATTTGGATTGATGTTTGATATATGAACGGCGACTACACTGTCATAATTTCCTTTGCAATTAATCTTTGAAAAGTTTACTGTACTATATTAAACACTAAAACTGATATATGTGTTTAATTCATTCGAAAGAACTTATGAAATAGAACATAGAGTGAAGTTGTTCAGAGTCAATATTAAGGAAGCATTATGAAAAAGCTCGTTGAATACATAAACTTGAAAAAACGTTTATGAGACACGTCAACACGAATAAATAGGCAGCCATTTTATGATACATTCTACATTGTAATATATCAATGTCGCATAGGTTATCTAAGAATATTTTCATTATTTGAAAAAAAAATTCTTTAATGGAATAAATCACTCAATTAATTAGAACCTTTGTTGAAGATATTATAGCTACTAAATAACAATTTCATGATCACTTTTTGTGTAAGATATTAAATTAAAATAAAACTCTGATGATACATAACAAAGCATTATAGAGCAAAATGAGGTGGATAAGCTTCTTGCTGTGGAACAAAATGAAAATGATACGCTGAAGTGGATGGTTTGGCCAAATAGTTACTGTACGTAGCTGGTGTTTGATAAAATGATGTTGATGGTTTTACTGCATCTTTAGTTGTTGAAAGATTTAAAAAACTATTTGAATGTTGTATTTGTTGCTGTTGCCAATTGTTCTGATTCGGTTGTTCATCGAGTGAATAACGAAATTGCCATGGTTTTGAAGATGACTCTCTTTCGATAATAGTCATACTGCAAAAATCAACTTTACCAGCAAGTTCAGCAAGTCTTTCAGGTCTTGGTTGTCCTTTCATTAAATGTCGTGTAAGTACTTCAAGACTAGGTGCATGTCCAACAAGTAATATAGTACCACCAGTTTTTCGATGTAATCTAATAATTTTTTTCATTGTTTCTTTTGAACGATCATAATATTGATATTCATTTTCTAATAATCGAAGATGACTCATTTGTGAACGATAATGTGTATCAATATTATAACTACCATTAATTAATTCTTTATCAGACATAAAATTAATTGGTGATCGAGCATACCAAGATGTACATTCGAATAGACCAAGTTCAAGTCGTAATGGAACTTGTCCTAAATAATAAAATAGAAAAAAAAATACTATGATTATTTATATAAATATTTATTTTTACCGTTTCGATTCATGCCTTCAAGGATACCATTAGCTGTTTGAATGCTGCGAAAAGCAGGTGAGGAATAACATGTTGTCACCGGTAAATTATATCTAGCAAGAACATTACCAACATTCCATGATTGAGCTAAACCGTTTGCAGTTAATGGAGTATCGACATCATAGTCCACCCAATTGGCTCGATGCGGTAATGATGGTGGCATATTTGCTTCAAAAGGATAATAACGACCAGTACGATCAAATGCTCGTTGCGTCCAACCGGCACCATACATAACATCAACACGTTCTCCATGACGAATAATAATAAAACGAAGAGGTGGATCACTTCCTTCATTGCCAGAACCATATGATGAATTATAGTTATCGGATTCGTCGTTGACTTCGTCCTCCATATCGTATCCCGGTGCCTCATGTTTACGAGATTGTCCAAAGAGAATACCTGATGGATTCAAATATGAATTAATTTTTGCGTACATCTTCTTTATTCTGAAAAAAAACTGCTAAGAAAAAAAATTAAATAATATAACTTTTTCTTAAAAAGATTCAATGCAAATATTATCCATATAGACAATTTTTCTTATTTTGAAAAATTTATCCCCATCACATTATTTGTGGGAAGTAATCAAAGTGCAATCACTCGACTATTACCTACTTTTTCTCTCTTTTTACATTATTCGTATACAAAGTAAAGAAAATGATGAGTTATGACAGCAACAGGTAACCAGATAGTAGGTATCTCATCTGTCAAAACAGCAATAAATATACACCTATGTATATAAAAAAAAAAAGGTATGGAGGACGACTATATAATGGGTGACTGACTTTCTTTTATGTTAGTCGTTCTGTTCTCAATCTCATCAATGAAAAGAAAAGAAAAAGAAAAGCTGAAATTGCGAAAACCTAATGATCATGAACATCATGAAGTTGGATGTTTTTGTCCTTGTTAATCGATTCTTGATTTATCTTTTCATCAATTAGCAATATTTCAAGGATAGTAATAAATACAAACATAGAAAAATCTAAACGTTAAATGACCTTCTCCTCACAATAAATTTATCATTTAAAACAATTCATTTAACCCTTTTAGTCCCATAGTAGCAAGAAAGCTACACATGTTTCATAATCACTTCTCCCAAAATAATCTCTAAAAATTAGTACCTAATCTCTTGGAATGAAATAATAAAGAATGTTCTAAAATGTCTCCAACTATCTGTAAAGATGATATATAGCCGTTCATGTGTTTGTGTCTAAAATAAGCTAGTCTAGCAGTCTATATGAATTGAATACAGCAGAAATGATTTGAGACTCAAAGGTTTAAGCTGAAATTTTCAGCAATGAGTGAACCTAGTGTGAAATGCTTCTAGTAAAAACTTCAACCCGGTATTTGAAAACAAAACGAACTTCTGGCTTATTTTTAGCGTATTAATGGTCTTTTGAAGAATCTCTATAACTTCATTATTACAAGAGGTATAGAGCTCGAGGTTATTTCAGATTAAAGTCAAAGCTATATGCAGTTTTTGTTCGAATAAAAATTTGAAATTAGCTTCCATTCATTTTTCATGATCATTTCAGTATATATAGTGTTAAAATAAGCAAAAAAGTCACTTCATGACACTATATCTCACTTTTCTTGACACAGAAATTAACTAAAAAAGATTTGATCGGACAAAGGTTTACTTTCATTGAAACCTTTAAAACAAAAAGACCCAAAGATTAGGAATATCTTGAACTGTAGAGTAGGAGTTCAAGTTTTTCTGCTTGAAAAACCAGATTCTGACAAGAGCGGTAAATCAGATTAGATATAGATGTTTTCATTCCAATCCAAGACAAAGTCGTATTAAAATCATTCGTTCATAATGTATCTCAATGAAGCTTTTAAAAGCACGTAACAGATGACGTAAATTAGCACCATCTGTCGCGCTTTAATTATATGAGAACATTAATTTAATACTCATACAAGTAAAAATACAGTCTTCCCAAAACTAAAAAGCTTTGAAAAAACCACAAAAACTTCTCGAAAAATACGGTAGTAGGATCGAATTTTCTTTCGAAAATCTGTTTAAGTTTTACCTTTCTTCGAGAATTCCTATATATATATTGAGAGAAATAAAATTTTGTTTTATCTTTCTATTGGTATACCCTTCAGAGGAATTAAAGGGTGTTTCTTTCGTACGTTTATTAGCAGATGCACTTCTCATTGAGGAAAGTTCAGAGGCCAAGCTACAACGCTCGGGCTGCTTTCATTTGAAAGATAACTTCTTACTATGTAGGATGAGAGAATGGGTTGCTTTAATTTTGACTCTGTTTCATTTATCTGATCATTGAAACTTTAAAAATCTGGAATTTATAGGCATGGTTTTCTGGAAAACTCAGGGATTATCTAGCATTGACGATTACTTAGAAAATTTCTTTTCTTTATTTAAAGAACTATGCTTATATTTATCGATTAAAAAACAATAAACAGCTCTCTAAAATACAGTATATTGAGAAAAATTTGTTCGCAGATCAATCATTATCGAAAAAAACAATTTTGAAAGAAATGCAAAAGTTTTTTTTTCAATAGGCCTCCTTTTATTGCTTGAAATGAGAATCAAGCATAAATATATTACATGTCAATCGTAGCACTTTTCTATGTACATTGATTGTCCTTGTATGAGATACATCAAAATAAATAATACTACCGACGATTACCTTTATATTCTTTATATTATTCAACAGCATAACACAAACAGAAGATTAACAAATTCATTTGTTGCGGTACAGTTTTTTTAATAGCTGATAAGGATGGTTAGTTTTTATTAGTAACTCATAAGAAATATAGTATTTTATTTTATATAAAACATCTACTTTGACAATGTAGATAAAGACAAGATTCACACTTACATCTTCATTTCATTGTAGATTTCAAACATGTATCCCTAGGATGTGCAAAATATGATTATCATTAAAAAATAATTGTTTATTTTGCAGATCTAACTCAACAAAAAGCTTCTTTGATTAATCTAGAGACTTTCAAAGATTATTCATAAAACTCTCAAAAAAATCTTCAAGAATCAAAACTATTTTTATAAATTCGTAGACTAGAAACCTCAGGCAATATGTGCACATATCGTATCATATTGTTTCGTTCATTGTCTGTTAATAGATATCATTTTCTAATCAAGTTATTAATATTGTCTTTTGTCCGTAAAACATACATGAATATATTCTACAAAGTTTCCAACAGAAGACTATTAGCTTATAGACGGTAATTGGTTTACACATGTATCAATTTTGATGAATTAGTCAAGAAAAAAAAACAAAAAATGACATTTTTTCGAATAAGAACAAAAAAAATAATCTTATTGATGGCGAAATAATATCTGACAACGAAAAACGAGAAAGAAAAGAATATATTCATTATTATAAATTGTTATTAACAGATGTAAAACGTCGACGACAACATGCTTGACAGAGTAATATATCACCTAATGGATAACAACGACGATCTGGTTCATCATTTAATTGTAATGAACAATCCTAAGAAAATTATTTTAATTTTATATATAAATATATAAATGAAAATTCATACTTGACATTGATAACATTGAACATGAAATGTTTTTCCCATTGATATAATTCGTACAGTTTCATTCGAACCCTAAAATTACATAAAATTAATTCTCATAAATATGATTAACTTTATCTTACATCTTCTGGACAAATTGGATTTGAGCATTTATCACATCGTGGTCCATAAGTCCTACAAACTCAAGCAACAATGATTTTATTTAGTTCATTAACAATAACTTACATATGATAATCATGTAAACAAAAAAGATTTTGATTTTTATCTGTTATAAATGGCACACCATCTAAACAAATTGAACATTTTGAACATTTAAAACATGTCAAATGATATGAATGGCCAAGTGCTTGTAAAATCTAAGTTTAATTTAAATATAAACTAATCAATTTCAATAAAACTAATATTCATACTGTATCAGTAATTAAATGACCACAAGCTATACAATGTTCAAGTGTTTGATGAAAACCTGTATACTAAAAAAAAAGGTAATTAAAAAATACACAATAAATTTTTCATTAAAAATAATCTTTTACCAAAAAATCTTCTTCACAATATAATTGATCTTTAACAAAAAAATGTTTATTTTTTACTGATCGTCCACATAAAACACAAACAGCACACGAACTATGATAGATCTGACCAAGGATATCACATGCATCATCTGAATTTGCTATTATTTCACCACATTTTCGACATTGACCTATTGGATATTCTTTTATAATTGATCCATTAATTGTTTCATGTTTACGATTATTATTTATTGATAATGAATTAAATTGACGTTCAAGTGTGTGAGAATCAACGACATCATTTCGTTTTACTGTTGATGAAATAACAGGTGATCGATAAATTATTTGATTCGTAGGTTTTGGTGATGCTGATGAATTAAAATCAGGAATAACTACTGAATTTGATTGATGACATATAGGTGAACCTCGTGGTGGAATTGCTGGTGGTTGAAGTGGATAACGTGGCGGCGGTGGTGGTGGTGGTAGATCACGAGATGATGATTGAGTTATATAAAGTTGTGTTGTATTAAGATACGTCGTACTTGTTTTCATCCCACTTGGTGAAAACTGAGGTAACATACTTGTCCGATGAAGAGAATTATTATTTATTGTTGATGATACTTTAGGCATACGAGCAGGTGGTGGAGGTTTTGTATCAGAACTTCGATGTGGTGATACAAATGAATAACATCCTTCTGAATAATATATAATATACAACTGAATTCTTGATGCTTTTTCTTCTTACCTGTTGTTGATTGTTGTTGTCTTTGATAATGAATAGAATCATTTGGTGTTGATGGTAACGAATAAGATATAAATGGTGTTATTGTCGGATTTGGACTATTTTGTTGTTGATGATTTGAATAATAATGAAATGATGGTGAATGTAATGATGATCGAGAATTTTGACGATTAGCTAAAGCTTTATTAAAAATACTTTCTTCATATGATGGTGGAGGATGATTTGGTTTTGGTGAAGATTGTGGTGGTGGTGATGATGATGATGATTGAATTCTAGGTGATGATGATGATGATGAAGTTTCCCAAAGAACATTTGTTATATCAGGACGTGATGATGGCGAAACAACAGAATAAAATGTTTGTTGTTTACCCGGGATAAAATTTCGATTATCAAATGCATGTGCCATCGAAACACTATATATGTGTACAATGTTTCACCTGTATAGAAGAGAACGAAAAAATAATTTTATTTTCGTTGAATTATTTTGAAAGTGTCTTCTTTTAAATGAATGAACTAGAGCGACGTTGGAATGTGTGGAATGTGATTATATATATATATGTGTTTGTTCTCCTTTCGGATTAGAACGATATTTCTTTTTCTTCTTCCTTCGCTTTGAACGTTTTCTTTGTTTTTTTCTTTCCCCACGTCGTTTAATTGCAAAATGCCACACGAAACGAATGAATATAAAACGAGAGAATATGAAGACAGATTTTTTTTTTCTCTTCACACGCACTCTTTAATATCGATATCAAGCTGTGCGTATATATGTATATATGATCGACTTAAAATTCCAATTCACGCCTTTAACTATTTTAACAGAAAGAAAAAAAAATGTCAAGCAGGTGGATCAGTCAGGACAAGATTATCTAATATAGACATTCGTTATGTTATTCTATGTTAATAATTCGAATGATAGCTCTTTTTATTGAGTAATTTGTTATGCGATCGATTATGAGAATAACAAAATGACAAGTAGCTTTTGAAATTTCACATGAACAAGAGAAAAATTATTTCCCAGAAAGAATTCACAATAAAAAAGAACTTTTTTTCATGTTATATACTGAGTGAAACAAAATGATTGCAACGTTGAGCATTTTGTAAATATCTCACCATAGATAAATCATGTCATTTTAATTTTTTTTTGAGAGATGCGTCCGTCAAATTCTCTACAAAAGCGATAATAAGAAATCTTATTGAATTGGTATAATGGTTTCAATATACAGTTAAAAATCAAGTACTGTGTAGTGATAAAATATCTCATTACTCGAAAAGGAATAATTTTGACATGCGTTTTAAAACTCGTTACTATTTTTCCATGAAAAGATATTTTCGAATTGTGCTAATGACTTTTTTAAGTGACAAAAAGTAAAGATCGTACTATCATCATTTGAAGTCGTTTACGCCTAAAGTCCAATGACCTTCAAACTCCCTAGACTTATATTCATTAGATTCCTCTATTTGGGCTCGTGTCAATAAGAACATTGATTATCAAAAAGTCAAAACATGAGAAGATCTAAAAGAACGAGATAAAAGAAGCGTGTCATAAAATGAATGTGAGTTATGCTGTAAAGTGATCGGCTCTTTTCTTCAAAGAGTTCGTATATTTAAAGAGCACAATGCTGATTATTTTTTTCATGAACAATCATGATTTCTATATCACTTAACGTCAATGATTTTAGAAAGTATATGATAACATCATAAAGTATACTGTTTGAAATAAAAAGAAAACTTTTTTAATGTTATTTTTATTTTCGTTTCTCTCAAAATAATGCAATATTTCATCATCAAACAGTTCTTCAATTTTAGCCTTGTAATTAGTAAAATCATCATACCGATTCAGTGGGATTTCTTATTGCCATTTTCGTAGAGAATGAGAAGAATTCATATTTTTTTGATTGATGACTGAATTATTTTAGAAATAACTGATTATTGTACAAAAAAAGCACTAATTTATCTTGTGTGGACAATGGCAGCTCTCCGGAGATCAGACGGCCTGTCTCAACGTTTTAAATATGAACGTCCATAGAGGAGAAGAGAATTGATTTCCTTCCCATAAGAAAAATTTGCACTATTAATTTACAATGTTTGTTTTTCTACCGACATTTGTGTCAAATAATCGATGTGAACCGTATAATGGGGCCGACACTTTCTTTGTTATAAATAATGTCGAATATACACATGATATAAATTTATTCTTAGTTAACTTCCAGCTATTTTTATTGGTTTTCATCGATAGTTTAATGTACTTTTACCACATTTAAACTGTCCGGATGGCGCACTGATTTCATTCCGTATGGATCTTTAAGTCAGAATATATAATTATTTATCGCTTATTCTTTCTGTTAGTTATCTGTTAAACGGAAAACGTCACTATTAGAAAAGCTCGATCAGATTATCATAAAATAGATCTACATGCATTATATTTTTATAGATTAATCAGTTTATTTTAGAGCTTTAGTAATAAACCGTTTCTCGACATAGACAATCTCTCATGTTAGAAGTTTTCTCTAGATGGATCGATATAAAAGACGTATTAAAAGTCTCAAAAACCCTGTTGCGTCTGCACAGCTTCAGTTTTTCGAACAAGGCTTCACAGATGCTATTAAATTAGTCTTGACCGGATACTATCTGCGTATAAAAAATACTTCTTCAGACATTAAATACTCATGATTAGGAATAGTCTTTAGAAATCATTTTCATTTTTTCGTTCACTTCTGCGGCCATGGTGATTATGTATTCTGTAACCACCACTTTATCTAGGAACAGGTGTTTGAAAATAATTACAGATTAACAAATTCATACTTCTTCCGTTTGTAATGTCCTGATAGGGTGTTGATATGAATTTGTGACTCTTCTTTTCGGTGACAATCACACCAAAATGGTATTAGTAGCTCCGTCTTCTATAACATTGTTGAATATTTGAACATTTCAGAAGCCCTGCCGACTTCTATTGCGACTAGAGACTCAGGATTAACTTTGATGTTTTCAGTGAAAGTGTAACTCAAATTGATTTTTATCTTGCACAATAATGTACTTGAAATGCAAACGAAATCGATTACTAGTTTTTTAGATATTGGACAAAGTCCAAAAACAGGTGCTCTTTGTTCATGTCTCGAATGGGTAATAGCTTTGTCAAAGTAGAAAAAAACGTTAACCAATGATTTTAAAATATTAATTGTCAACGAAAACTTTTAAAACGTCTTATTTGTTTATTTCATTTTAATTGGAAATGTTTCTCTATAAACTAAACAATTCATATGAAGATTTGGTTTTAATCGTCTATTGTTTGTTCAAATAGTGCTTTAACAATATTATCACGATTAAATAACTCTGTACGCATTTGTTGTCCTGTATCCCAATCATTAAAATTTGGTGCAATAAGTTGTAGATAAGAACCATCTGTAATTGATAATGATGATTGTTGATCATAATTTCCATGAATTCGAACGGTTTCATATGAATCAAGTTTAAATGCAGGAAATGTATAATTCATATGTCGACCATCAACTATTCGTTCAATATACCATCCAGTAAGATCATACGGTTGATTACCTATATTTTCAATATCAACAAAACAACCTTGAATATCAACAGATTTAATACGAATCTTTCCTAAACAAACAAAAAAAGAAAAATTTACAAAGATTCGGAAAAAAAGTTTTTTTTTTTCATTCTGACCTTTATATTTACGTTTAACATGAGTTATGCTTTGTTCATATTCCTGATCACGTTCTGACATATCGTGCTCGTTTCGATTCATGCCTCTACTCATTTGTTCTCGTTCGTCCGTCTCATATACAAAAGGTCGTATTGTTTGTGTTGTCGTGTTTTGATTATGATTAAGTATATTTTGTTGAATTCCATATTGATTACGATTAATACTTTCATTATATTTTGTTGATATAACATTTCTTGATACAAGTGAAGGTTGACATTTCGATGAATGATCAATATCCGTTGTTCTTGTAATACTGGTTTTAGATAATCGAGAGTGAGTTGATGTATTATGAGATGAATCAGCATTGCTTTCTCGATCTAATGAATTTAATAAAGCTTCATAAATTTTTAATTCTTCTTCAATACTAAAACGAAGTGTATAAACTAATTTATCTAATTCATCTTTTAATGCATAATATTCTGCACGTGTTAAATCAGTATCGTGTTCAAGATGAGCATGCTGTTCAACATATTTAAGTGCTTTTGTTTTAACTTGATTTTCAAGATCTTTTAATATTTGTCGTTTATGCTGAATTTCTTCAGCTAATTTTCGATAATCAGATTCAAGACGATCATATTCTTTTGTATGCTCCTGAAGGCAATTTTCGAAATGTTGAGTTTCTTCACGACATCGTTGTTCATCTAAAAAGAAAATGATTCAATAGAAAAAAAGCGATTGAAGTTAAATTTGAACCATGTTCATCAATAGATGAATTCATATGAATTTTATCTTGTATTTCTTTTAATTTTGTTAGTAATTCTATTTCGATATCCATGTGTTGTTCTTTAAGCATTTGTTCATAATCAATTTGTAATTGTTGTTTTATTGTTTCTAAAGAATCTCGATAAAAGTTTCTTGAATCTTGTGTTAAACGATTTAATAAACGTTTCCATTCATTAATTTCTTCTTGATTATAACGTAAACGAAGATTATAATATTCTTTAAGTGATTGAATTTCATTTAATAAATTTTGTTTATCTAATGCCATTTGTGACCATTCTGATAGATAGAAACGAAATCTAGTTAATTCTTTTTGATAATCATCCTCATGAGATTTTATTAGATCGTTACTTATATCAAGTCGAAGTTGATTCTTATGTGATTCATTTTCTAATTGATTTATTAAGTAAAATAATATATCGTGTTTTTCATTATATGAATTGAGTACATTAAGAAAAATAGCTTGAATACGATCAGTTAATCGTATTTGTTCATCAAATATTTTTGTTTCAATTTGTGCAATTATTTTACAACGGTTTTGTTCGGATAAATTGTGTAATAAATTATTAAGTTCATGTAAAAATTGAGCATGACTTTCTTCGGCGATTCCCCAATTTGTTATCAATAAATTAAGATTATTACCTAAATTTCTATTTCCTAATTCCAAGCTATCTAAATAATGAAGTAAATCTTCAAAACGATCATTTAGTGAATGAAAGTAACATTTTTCATCGACATCTTGTTGTTTTATAGCTGCTACATCATTCACAATCTGTGCTATTGATGTATTATCATTCTGAATTTGATGATTAGCACCAGTAATAGATGAATGTTCAATTGAATAACGTTGAATTAAAGACATAATAAAGTCGTCATACACTGTTCGAATTATTTGTGGTCACTACATATCCTTACTAACCACACGACTAAAAATACTCTATTCTTTTTAATCAAATATCCATTTGTAAATTATTGCTATTTAATGATATTTCGTTTATAATCAACCATTCATGGTTGTGCTCTCTACATAACCTTATAATCTTACTGAATGACGAAAAAAAAAGACTCCGTTTTTATACGTGTAATAATTTTTTGCTAGGAAATAAAAGTGGTAACAATGAAAATAGCAAATAGAAAAAAACAACAACGATAACATGATGTCACGCAAAAATCACACACAAACACAAACAGATTTTTTGATGGATTCATGTTCATTACATGCATTCATCACCATGTCCACCTTTCTTTTCTTCTTTATCAAGTTTGATCATATCATCAATACGTAAAATAGTAATAGCTGCTTCAGTTGCATATTTCAATGATTTGATTTTTGATATAGCTGGTTCAAATACACCAGTTGATTTACAATCACGTACTTTTCCAGTTTGAAGATCCAAACCAAACCATTTAAGTTGTTCTTTATCCTTTTGTGTTTGTGATGCATTATGATAAGCACGAAGTTTAGCAACAAGTTCTGTTGCATCTTGTGCAGCATTAACACTTAATGCTTTAGGAATTGATAAAAGTGCTGTTGCAAATTCGGCAATAGCCAACTGTTCGCGTGAACTCTAAAAAACCAAGAATTTTTTTGATAGAAAAAAAAAGTTAAATAAAAATATTGGTGAACATGAGTTGAGAGCAGTTATATTTTTAAGTTTTCTTCTCGATGGTAATAACTAGCAGGAATCTGAAAAAAATATTTGTGTACTTCAAGTGATTCTCTGTTAGGACTGGTAGATCCGAAGACTCCAACAAAATTGTTTGGATGAACGTCTGCGAAAAACCAAGCCCTCCACAACCCCGTCAAACCAGTTTTCTAGCTTCCATCCGAAGCTTTTGAGAAAAATTTTTATTTTATTGAGTAAAATGATGCTCCGCCGATGTTTCTATAATCTTCCTTCATCGGACTGCATTTAATTTATAGAAGACCTAAGAAGCATTGTTCAATTGAAAATTTTGGTGTTTTTGTCATGTTTGATGCTTTTTGGGACATTTTATAAAAATTCAATGCAGTTTGATTAAGGAAGAGATCATGGAGAGACCGAAGACATTTCATCTTGCACTATCAAATAAAATCTTTTCTCAAAGGCTTCAAATGGAAGCCAGAAAGCTGGTTTTGGAGGTCTTAGTTTTTCGTAGATCATCATCTAAGCAGTTTCACTAAACTCTTAGAACCTACCAATCCTAATAAAGAATCGTTTGAGTTACACAAATGTTTCTTTTTTAGATTCTTACTAGCTATTACCAACGCCAAGAAAACTTAACAATACAACTGCTCTAAACTTTTGTCCGTTACTATACATACAACTGTTGTAGCGAAATTCTCTAAATAAATTGAAAGCGCTGTTTCACAGCAACCACCACCAGGTACAACTTGTTTTGATTCTAATACACGTTTAATAACACATAATGCATCATGCACCGAACGTTCAATTTCGTCACACATAAAATCATTTGCACCACGTATTATAATTGATGCAGCTGTACGTGCTTTTGGTCCCCGAATAAGAATAAGTTCATCATCACAAATACGTTCTTGAACAACTTCATCAGCACTACCAATAACAGATGCATCAACTGATTCGTCACCTTCCATATTTGCTAAAGCTGTTAATAATGTTGCTACAAAGCAAAAAACAACAGTAGAATAATATATTAATTAAATAATTGTTTGTTTCTACACAAATCTAACCTCCTGTTGCTTTAGCAATACGTTTTAAGTCTGCTTTTTTACAACGTCTAACTGCCATAGCTCCAGCTTCAACAAATTGTTTCAAACAAAGATCATCAATACCACCTGTCGTTAATATAACATTAGCTCCAGCATTAAGTAATTTAGCTACACGTTCTTTAGCAATATCAGTTTCTCTAAATACATTTTATTTTTATTTTAAAATTCAATATAAAACAAAAGACCTCAAACCTTCTTCGTATTGCTTCAAGTTTTTCAGGATCTTCAACAACAATTTGTACACCTAATTTCATTCGTACTTTTTGTAAACTAAAGTCCAAGCATGCTATTTTAGCATTTGTTATTCGTTTTGTCATTAATTGTGATGCTACTGTACAATTAAGTGCATAACCTGTTATTAAAACACTTTCATGTGTCGATCGACCATGAGCTTTTAGAACATTGATTGATTTAATTGGCACAATGATTTTATCCTTATCATTAAATTTAACTAAATTGGATGCATCGACACACATCTTAGCGAAAAAATCTGCATCCCTATTAACAACAAAAATAAATATTAAAAAGTAGCATACAGAGTATCCTGAAAGTTCATCGGAAAAGGTAATGAAAATATTTCTCATACAATTCAAAAGGTTTAATTGAACTTTTCTAGTAACGTGCAAGTATGTTCTTTAAAGTTTTCTTCTGTATATTTACAGATAAATGTCTGTCCCTATAAACATTAGAATAAGAATTATTTTATCAATGTCCAAGCTTGAGTCATCTATGGTTGTGAAACGAAAACGGTAAGTTGGGTTCAGGAAAAACACACCAAATGAAGATTGCATTGAAACTACATTTTGATTCTTTTGTGAAACTGGTACAGTGAAGAGTTGAAAACGCTCTGAGAGATCTTCAAAAATTACAGAAGAAAAAAAGTCGACGATGTTCATGGTATTTGCGAAATAGGAGCCGCTATCAAGGGCTTCAGTCGTCGCAAAGACCTGTTCCATTCCACGAACAAATTGCATCGTGTACAATTTCAATGCAAGGCATTCAGTCATACTTTTGTGTGCTGTTGTTCACAGAATGGATTAGACCTTTACGATAGCTCAAACAATTGATTACGATTCATTTTTCACAAACGTTATAAACTTCGTCAGCTTTTTCTTCTGTAATTTTTGATTATCTTCCAGAATGTTCTCAATTTGTCAGTGTACCAGTTTCATAAAAACATTAAAATGTAACTTTAATGCAAACTTCAGTTAGTGTGCTTTTGCCCTACTCAACTTACAGTTTTCGTTTCAAAACTATAGGTGACTCAAATTTGACATTTTATTAAACTATTTTTCTTCTAATACTCACAGGAACAGATGTTTATCTGAAAATATACAGAACAAAACTCTCAAGAACATACTGCACATTATTAGAAAACTTATTTAAATCTTTTGAAATTGTATCGCACATATTTATATTAACTTTCCCAAAGAATCTTTGAGATGCTCTGCATAAATTCAAATACGTACATTCCAATAACTTTACTAGCCATTGATGTTTTAGCAACATTTATTAAACATTCACTACCTAATTCATCAACAGGAATAACCATTTTGTCATGAATATATTTCACTGCTAATCTAAAACGACATCAATACTTGTAAATGAAAATAAAATAATCTATTTCTTACTTGCAAGCAAGTTTATAACCGCTAATAACTGATGTTGGATGAATTTTTTGTTTAACAAGTTGATCAGCATTTTTCAATAATTCAGCAGCAATGATTACCTTTAAAAATTAATTTACAATAATAATTATATTAAAAGACAAAACAATTCTTTAACATACAACACTAGTTGTACCATCACCAACTTCTTGATCTTGTAGTTGAGCTAATTCAACTAATACTTTAGCAGCAGGATGTTCAACTTCGAGTAGTTTAAGAATAGTGGCTCCATCATTTGTAATAGTAACATCCTAAATTATATATAGTTTTTGTTTTTAAATTTGATTATATTATAATTAAATTTCATTTACCCCAATGTCATCAACAAGCATTTTATCGAGACCGAGTGGACCTAATGATGTTCGAACAATATTAGCAATTGTCATAGCAGCCAGAACTATACATTCAAAAACAAAAACTAAAAATTATCAAATTATTTCACATCTACTTACCATTTTGAGTACGAACTGAATCACCTACAATATTAAAAGAAAATAAAAAGAAATATTTAGTCTTGTTTGAACTATTCGATTCTAAATATACCTGTGATACGTTCACCACCGAGTGATAATGTACCTTGGGCCATTTGATTAAACTAATGAATAATTATCTAAAATAAAAAATATGTACTTCATCGGGTTAGTTGTCGACCTAACTGTATATAGTATAGATATTGCTTTGTTTCTGAATCTATTCTCGAGAAAAATAAAGAAAAACATAGTTTCATAAACACAAACTGAAAAATCTTTATCCAGTAAGATGTTTTTAGTTAACTATAAAAAGATGTCACTAGAGTCATTAATGAAAAAAAAATTAAATTGAAGGAACATTTGTACGTCACATGGTAGTTCATTATGTTTACCTCATCATCTTATCGGTCGATCGTCAATATGTAAACGAAATAAAAGCTTAGTTAATAACAAAAACAAAAAAACAAAAAACTTATATATCCAATACTTGTTTTTCAATAAATAAAATTCATTCTTGTAAATAAATAAATCAATAACAAACTGGATCTTCTTATTCATCCATCTTTAGCTGCTGCTGCAGCCGCAGCAGCTGCATCATCATCATCATCACGAATGATTTCTGTTTCTCCACCACCTCATTCACATAGTCCGCCATCAAATGGTGCATCAACATCAAATAGTGGTGGTTCATCATCAGATGCATGCAATGGAATTGTTGCAAACCTTTTATGTCATCGACAACGAACAAATGGTGAAAGTGAAACATTTGCTAAACGAGCTATTGAAAGGTAAAAATATAAATTTCAAAGAAAAGTATTCAATATGATTTTCTTTAGTTTGGTTAAAAAACTTAAAGACAAAAAAGATGAACTTGATGCATTAGTTGCATCAGTTACAACAAATGGACAAATTCCAACAAAATGTGTAACTATACAAAGAACACTTGATGGAAGATTACAAGTATTTAATTTAGAAATGAATTTTCTTATGTAAT